AGTAGAGACGGGGTTTCACCATGTTGACCAGGATGGTCTCGATCTCTTGACCTCGTGATCCACCCGCCTCGGCCTCCCAAAGTGCTGGGATTACAGGCTTGAGCCACCGCGCCCGGCCTATTTCAAATAATTCTTCTGTTCCTTTCTCTCTTCTCCTTCTGGAATTCCTGTCCCATGTATGTTGTATCTTCTGTAGTTTCACAGTTCTTGGATGTTCTGTTGTTGTTGTTTCAGTCCTTTTTTTCTTCAGTTTGGTATTTTTCTATTGAGATATCTTTAAGCTAAGAGATTCTTATCTCAGATATGTCCAGTCTACCCATAAGCCCATACTTCCCTTCTTTTAAAGTGTTTTTGATCTCCAGCATTTCTTTTTGCTTCTGAGAGTTTCCATCTCTGTGCATCTGTTCTTGCATGCCATCTACTTTATCCATTAGAGCATTTCACATCTTAATCATAATTGCTTTAAATTCCTGGTCTGGTCTGATAATTCCAACATCTCCATCATATCTGAGTCTGGTTCTGAAGCTTGCTGTGTTTCTTCAAATTGTGTTTTCTGCCTTTCAGTATGCCCTGTAATTTGATCTTAATAACTGGATGTGATGCACGAAGTAAAAGGAACTGCTATAAATAGGCCTTTAATAATGTGGTGGTAAGGAGTGGGCGGAGGACTGAGCTTATGCCCCTGGAGTGTGGACTTCACAACTGCTTCAAAGTTCTTCTCCGACTTCGGTGAAACAGGATGGCTAATATGGGCCAGAGTTGGGTATTTCCCCTCTTCCAGGTCACATAGGCTCTGATAAAACCCCAACAGGTTAGGCTGCAGTTACATAGTTGCTCCTGATTGGCATAGCTAAAAAACAATAATTTTTTCTAGTGATTCTAAGGCTGCTATTATTTTTGCCTATGACCAGATACATGATATAGAAATAAATAATAAATAATTATTATTTATTTTTCTATAAATAAAAAATCCTTTTCTATAAATAACAAACTGCCTCTTGGGCTTTTCCCATCTGCAACCTGTCCATGGGGTTAACATTATTTACTGCCATGTAGCATGGCACTGCTCGTCTGCCTCCAGCCTTGCTGAGTCCTGTGATTTGCAGGTTTTGAATATATGCATCAAGCAAAATGGTTGATCTGGGCTACAAGAGGGTGGGACTGAGGTAAATTAGCTGGTTTTCTATTATCCAGAAGGTAAGAGGGAGATCAGAAGAGGGGGAGGGAAGAAGTGTGTGTGGGCTGACAATTGTGTTTCTTAATTCAGAAGTATCTGTGCTACAGATAGTAGAAATATTCTCTCTTCCAATTGGTTCTCTGTTATCCTCGGTTTTCAGCATTGCAAATTAAATTATCCACCTGGTCATCAAAATCAGTTTAATAGGAAGTTGGGAAAAGTCTTATCGTAGATTTATTCAGGTGATGATATTTTAATCCAGAAGAAACATTTCTTATTTGTTCTTTCAGCTTTCTAGGATGATGTGAAGTAAAACCTTTTGCTTTTATTGACTAGTTTATTATTTCCAATTGATAATAATGAAAGCTATTATTTATTATCTTCCTTGTCAGATTTTGAGCTATATTTTCATTTTTATTTAAAAAACATTGGGCCGGCCATGGTGGCTCATGCCTGTAATCCCAGAACTCTGGGAGGCAAAGGTGGGCAGATCACCTAAGGTTAGGAGTTCGAGACCAGCCTGACCAACATGGTGAAACTCCATCTCTGCTAAAACACAAAAATTAGCTGGGTGTGGCAGTGCATGTCTGCATTCCCAGCTACTGGGGAGGCTGAGGCAGGAGATTCACTTGAACCCGGGAGGCAGAGGTTGCACAGAGTTGAGATCACGCCACTGCGTTCCAGCTAGGGCAAGAGAGCGAGATCTCTGTCTCAGCAACACAACAACAACAACGACAACAAAACAACATTGAAAAGAGGGTCTTTGCTTCCTTATTTTTCAGGTAAGGAAGTGGAGGATTAGATGATTTGCCCAAAGTCTCGCCATAATTCGTAGAGCTGAGATTGAAATCCAGGTGAAACTTCACATATCACATTCTTTTTATCAGGTATGTTGAGAATATAGTTTGCTGAACACAGAAAGCAAGTAGTTATCCAGAATTACAGTCCTGTGATGTAAAATCTTTTATTTTTACTTTAATTTTATATGACAATAATGTTTAATCTTCCTTTTAAGATGGCAGTTTCTGGATTTACTCTTGGTACCTGCATACTTCTGTTGCACATTAGTTATGTGGCTAATTATCCCAATGGAAAAGTAACACAGTCATGCCATGGAATGATTCCTGAACATGGTCATAGTCCACAGGCTGTTCCTGTTCATGACATTTCAGTGAGTCAGATGACATTCAGGCCAGGGGATCGGATTGAAGGTACTGTGCTGGGATTAACTGTTTACATTTTGGATTTCACTCTTTTACTGTTCATTGCATCTTTATTATTATTTGATTTAGACTATTTCATTTAAATCTTTTTTCTTTTTTAAGATACTATCATACTTCTTATTTTTGGTTACAGGTGGTTATATTACTTAAGTAGTCTGTGTATTACCTACCCATCCAGAACAGGTTTAAATAAGTTTTTGTCATTATCTACTTTTTTTTTATTTTTTTTATTTTTTATTAATTGTGCTATCACTTCGAGAGAAGAGAAAATAAAGTTTATTTTATCTTGTTTAAAATGTAATAAACTCTTGTCCTTTTTGACATCATATAATTTTAAGAATAATTCTCTAATTTCTCTGGTAAAATATGGGCTGCTTATTAAAGAAAAATACATAATAGCATTTTGCAAACTATTTTTTTGCAACTCTAGAAATGCAAAATGTTAATAGGTATTCTGTTACATAAAGAATATACGGAAAAATAAGTGTGGAATATTCTGTATGGTGTACAGTATACATTAGAGTTCACACTGTACAGTAGGATATTAAATACCCTACGAGATTTGCAGTAAAGAAACAAGTATTGGCCGGGCGCGGTGGCTCAAGCCTGTAATCCCAGCACTTTGGGAGGCCGAGGCGGGTGGATCACGAGGTCAAGAGATCGAGACCATCCTGGTCAACACGGTGAAACCCCGTCTCTACTAAAAATACAAAAAATTAGCTGGGCATGGTGGCGCGTGCCTGTAATCCCAGCTACTCAGGAGGCTGAGGCAGGAGAATTGCCTGAACCCAGGAGGCGGAGGTTGTGGTGAGCCGAGATCGCGCCATTGCACTCCAGCCTGGGTAACAAGAGCGAAACTCCGTCCCCCCCCAAAAAAAAAAAAAAAGAAACAAGTATTTACTTTCATCTAGTGATTTTTTTTTCAATTCAATAAGAATTTATTGAGTGTCACTGTGAGCCAGACACTATGTTAAATACTGGAATTCGAAAGAAAACACCTCATGTTTTTTTCCTCCAATGGACTCGAGTAAACATTTAAAAAAAACTTTTAGTTTCAGGGACACATGTGCAGGTTTGTTTATAGGTAAATTCCATGTCACAAGGGTTTGGTGTACAGATTATTTCATCACTCAGGTGATAAGCATAGTACCCAATAGGGATCATCTAGCATTTTCCAAACTGACTTAGCCTTATGGACTGCCCCTTGACCGTCACCTGTTTTTCTTTTCTCTTTGTGAAATGGCTGTTAATATCTCACAGAATGAATATCTTATGGAACACAGTTTAGAACTTCTTTGCCTATAGGATGACTCTTTTCTCTCCAGGAGTAGTTATGCATATGTACACATCATTCTAACTAATGTATGACCTCTAAACTTTTTCTTTTTTTTGATATTACTAAGCTTTTTAACCGATCCTTTTGTTTTTCTCAGTTACTTTGTCAGGGCAACCATTTAAAGGCTTTCTCCTAGAAGCGCGTAATGCTGAGGATTTGAATGGCCCTCCTGTTGGCTCCTTCACATTGATTGACAGTGAAGTGTCACAGCTTTTGACCTGTGAAGATATACAGGTTTGTGTTTAGAGTTGACCTTTGAACCATATAGAGTTTACAGGTGCCGACCTCATTCCTGGGGAAGTTGAAAATCTATGTATAACTTTTGACTCCCCCAGAACTTAACTACAAATAGCCTGTTGTTGGCCAGAAGCCTTACCGATAACAAATAGTTGATTAATACATATTCTGTATTTATATGTTATATACTGTATTCTTACAATAAAGTAGGCTAGGCAACAGAAAAATCTTATTCAGAAAATAAGAAAAAATATATTTACTATTCATGATATGAAAGTGGATCATCATAAAGATCTTTATTCTTGTTGTCTTCACATTGAATATGCTAGGGAGGAGAAGGAAGAGGAGGGGTTGGTCTTGCTGTCTTGTGGGTGGCAGAGATGGAAGAAGTGGAGGGGGAGGCAGGAGAGGCGCCACACTGGTGTAACTTCATGGAAGTACATTGTGATTTCTATCTGACTTTCTTGTTTTTTCATTTCCTTAAAAATGTTTCTATATGGTGGCAATCCTTCCCCGCTTTGCTTTAGTTTCAGTGCTATATCATAGGAGGTCCATGTCATAGAAGAAGGCACAAGCAGTGTTGAAGAATTGGAGCCCATTTGCCAGGTTGTCTAATGTCAGTTTGTTTTCTGGGGCTGCGTCTTCTACCCAGTCCTCATTGTCACCTGGCACTGGTTTGGAACACTCATCAAGTTGTCTACTGTTAATTCTCCTATTGTGGTGTCTATTAGCTCTTGAATTGCTCGAAGATTCATATCTTGGAACCCTTCATCACCTACCATTTTTGCCATATCCACAGTGTCTTTTATGATTCCTTGATTGGCTCTGTAAATCTTTTAAAGTCATGCACAACATCTAGATACAGTGTTTCTCTAGCAGGAATTTATTGTTTTGGGATTGATTGCTCTCTAGGCTTTTTTTTTTTTTAAATAACAACAATAGGGTCTTCAATGGTGTAATCCTTCCAGATTTTCATGGTGTTCTATCAGAGTTCTCTTCCATAGTGTTGACAATCCTTTCCATCGAGTACTGTGTGTGAAGAGCCTTAAATGTTCTTAAGACCTCCTGAGCTAGAGACTGAGTTAGAGACACTGTATATGGAGGCAAGGAGGTGACTTCAGTGGCTTTGGTGTTGAGCTCATGGAGCTCTCGGTAGCAGGGGCATTGTCTAATATTGTATTAGGCTCTTCCTGTATTGCTCTAAAGAAGTGCCTAAGACTAGGTAGTTTAATAAGGAAAGAGGTTTAATTGGCTCACTGTTCTGCATGCTATACAAGCATGGCACTGGCATCTGCTCAGCTTCTGGGGAGGCCTTAGGGAGGCCTCATGGCCTTTTACTCATAGCAAAAGCTAAAGCAGGAGCAGGCACTTCACATGGTGAAAGCAAGAGCAAGAGAGAGGGTTGGGGGAGGAGAGGTGCCACATTTTATGACAACCATATCTTACAAGAACTTGCTCACCATCTCGAGGAACAACACCAAGGCATGAGAATTCTGCTCTTCTGACCCAAACACCTCCCACCAGTTCCCACCTCCAGAACTGGGGATTGCAATTTAACATGAGAGTTGGGTGGGGACAAATATCCAAACTATATCAAATATCAATAGCACATTTATTTATTTATTTATTTGAGACAGAGTCTTGCCCTGTCATCCAGGATGGAGTGCAGTAGTGCAATCGCGGCTCACTGTAACCTTTGCCTCCTGGATTCAAGTGATTCTCTTGCCTCAGCCTCCTGAGTAGTGGGGATTACAGGCACCTGCCACCAGGCATGGCTAATTTTTGTATTTTTAATAAAGACTAGGTTTCATCATGTTGGCCAGCCTGGTCTCGAACTCCTGACTTCAAGTGATCCACCCGCCTCAGCCTCCCAAAATGCTGAGATTACAGGTGTGACCCACCGTGCCCTGCCAAAATAACTTTTTAAATCTTTTACTGGCAAGGTGCTTCTTGGCTTCAGAGGCAGAGCGTCCATGAAGCCAGTCCAGACAAAAGTTCCTCATTATCCAGGCCTTTTTGCTGTTACAACCAAAAGACTGGCAGCTGATGTTTATCTTTTCCCTTCAAGGTGTGGGGATTAGCAGCTGTGTAGGTAAGAGCAGCCCTGATCATAAACTGACTGCATTTGTGCAAAATAGTTAGAGATAGCCTGTTCCTTCTTGCCTTAAATCCTGGTGCTTGCTTCTCTTCTTTACTAATAAATGCCCTTTGTGGTATTTATTTCCAAAATTGGGCACTTTTTTCTGCATTAACCTGTTCAGGCAGATATACTTTCTCCTCAATGATTTTCTTATTGGTGCCTGGGAACTTGGCCTGTTGCCTCTTGGTCGGTAGAAGCTGCTTCTCTTGTTATCCTGACATTTCAAAAGCCAAACTTTTTTCTAAAATTATCAAGCTATCCTTTGCTGGCATAAAGTTCTCCAGCTTTAGACCCTTCACCTTCCTTTTGCTTTAAGCTGTCATTTAATGACTTTGCTTTTTCTTGAATCATATTAGTCTATAAGTATGCCTTTCTCATAGCAATTCTTACACCTACATAAAAGATGCATTTCCAATACGAGATGAAAAGATCTTTCACAGAAAGTGCAAGGCTTTTGCATCTGTTGGCATAGCTGCAGTGACATCTTCATGAATTTTCTTTTCTTTTTGTTACAGTGGTTCTAAAACTGTATTCATTTGTCTTGAAATGGCGGGCGACTGCAGCAGCAGTCCATAATCTACAGTACATGTCAAGCAATTCATCTTTTTCTTATAATGTCATGAGTTTTCTCTGCTTCTTGGGAACACTTCCAGCATCACTAATGGCACTTTGTATGGATCCCATGGTGTTATTTAAGGTTTACAGTAGTGGACAAAACACAGTAAAAGCTGGGTGCCGTGGTTCGTACCTCTTTTCTCAGCATTTTGGGAGGCTGAGGCTGGTGGATTGCTTCAGCTCAGGAATTTGAGACCAGCCTGGGAAACATGGCAAACTCCAGCCTCTACAAAAAAATACAAAAATTAGCTGGGTGTGGTGGCATGTGCTTGTAGTCCCAACTACAGTTACTTTATGCAGTTATGATTTAATACTGCATTTTTACATTTGTTTGTATGTCTCTGGACTGTGAATGGCACCATGTACGGTCTGTTTGTGTATGTATGTTTTGATAAATTTTAACTTTTTGTAATAGGTTTGTGTATATTTTACAGTAGTAAATGATAAAATAGACTAATACCTACATATTTTGTGCATTTAAGACATACCTAACTTTTTAATTTTTTCAATATTTCTAGCCTATGCAGTTTGTCTGTGTTTTTTTCAAATTGTTGGAAATCTCCAAACATTTTTTTATTATATATTTGAAAATAAATCTGCATATAAGTGGACCTATGCAGTTTAAACCTGTGCTGTTCAAGGGTCAACTGTAGCTTGAAATTGTTCTCTGTCAGTTTTTTTTGCGCTCTTCACTATAAGGTAGTGGTTGCAAGATAAATGATGACATTAACCATGTATTGTAAACATCTAAATTGATTCACAATGATCAGACTTTTCCCTTAATTTTACTACTTGCAATTTTTATACATCAGCACCCTATAAAAGGTAGTTTGAAGAATTTATAGCTTGTGATATTTTATATTAATATTGACTCTGACTTTATTAATTTTTGAAGGGTTTTAATATTGAAGACAGAGATCTAGAGTATGATAGGAGTCTAACTTTTTTCATTTATTTATTCATTTATTTGTTATACCAAAATGGTCCTGAATGGGAGGGATAGGTGATGGACAAGAGTGACTCTTGTTTCTTGAAAAACTTCTTACTTTACACGTAAGCACATCTTATGAATACATAAGTAGAACAGTGTGATAACTTTGGTTAGAAGCATACACAGTAAGTGGGAAGCATCGCAGAGGGAGCCACACATGGGCTGGAAGGAACTGGGAGAGAGCCTCTTGGAGGAGATGATCTTCAAGTGAGGCCTCAGAATGAGTAGGAGTTGCCAGGTGCATGAAAGTGGGAAAGAAGAGTGTTCAAGAGAAAGAAATTACTAAAATATCATGTTACTGCATGAATCTTCTGCATTCTATTCTGCATTCTATTTGTATCTATCAATGGAAGAGATATAAATTTATAATGTACATGTACATGTATAATTATACATTTACATTACATATATATTATAATGTACATGTATGATGTACATGAAACAATGAGCAGGCTCTATCTAGTATTAATTTACCCAGTGTTCACACCTCTCTTCAGTTCTTCGATTTCTGTTGACTCTCATTTATTCGCAGATCCAGCTGCTAATATGATGTCAACCAATCAACATTTCATTTATTGAGTACCTGAGTCCTTCTAAATAAAATAGTCTTCACCAGAATGCTAATGTCATGCAGTGATAAATTACTTTGCAAAATGATAGAAGTTCTAGTCATGCTGAGTTATTGAGTGACTGAATGGTAGTTCTTTTCCCTTTTATTTCAGGGATCAGCTGTGAGTCACACAAGTAAATCTAAAAAAACAGAAATTAAAGTCTACTGGAATGCTCCAAGCAGTGCCCCAAATCACACACAGTTTCTGTGAGTATAAGAGTTTATAATTCTAGGCCAGGCATGGTAGCTTATTGCCTGTAATCCCAGCACTTCGAGAGGCCAAAGCGAGTGGATCACTTGAGCCCAGGATTTTGATACTGCCTGGGCAACATGGTGAAACCCATCTCTAAAAAAAAAAGAAGAGTTTACAACTCTGTAACTACTAATATAACTGAAATTATAATTAGTCTGTATCATTTTATGTACTTATTAAACCTTCACCCATGTAGAAGAGCTTTGGTATAATAATACCACCTTCCTGATATAGGAGTTTGTGTTTTACCAGTGTATACCTAGTACCTAGCACAGAACCCGGCACCTCATAGACACTTAATAGACATTTGTTGAGTGAATATAGTCTTGCATGCCTTAAACTAATAAGAGCTATCAATTAATACTTGAGTTTTATGTTATAGAATACCACTTTTAGGCTTGCTCCTGTAATTAGCATGAGAATACAAATGAAAGTTCTGAAATTTGGATGTTTTTTTGCGCTGTTACAACTTGCAGATTAGACTCAAAAGAGACTGCATGGCTCTTAGAATTATGAAACTCAGTAGAATTAAAACAGTACTTCTTCCTTATCCTACATACAAAAGGAAATGGCATGTTATAACACCATGTAATGATTCCCGAGTAGTGGTGTAGACATATATTTTAAGGGAAGGATTGTTATCCTGACATGTCTCTTTTCTTTTTTTTTTTTTTTTTTAGACGGTGTTTTTCTTTTTTTACCCAGGCTGGAGTGCAATGGCACGATCTCGGCTCACCGCAACCTCGGCCTCCTGGGTTCAGGCAATCCTCCTGCCTCAGCCTCCTGAGTAGCTGGGATTACAGGCACACGCCACCATGCCCAGCTGAATTTTTGTATTTTTAGTAGAGACGGGGTTTCACCATGTTGACCAGAATGGTCTCGATCTCTTGACCTTGTGATCCACCCGCCTCGGCCTCCCAAAGTGCTGGGATTACAGGCTTGAGCCACCGCGCCCGGCTCTTTTCTTCACTTTGTGCGTAGGTCCCCAACACACAGTAACACAACTCTGCACCAGTATGTTAGGTGGAATGTGAAAAAGGGGTGTGATCCCAGTGAAAGCCGATAGTTACTTGCACAGCCTGTATTATAGCTGCTTGCTGTAGTTGCCTGCTACACAGGCCGTTTGGAAGAATTTGAATACTGTGCTCGGAAATGACCAGTAGTATGTTCTTCATATGCCAGGAAGTAGAAATCTGTGCCGTTTTGTCCCTGGGCCTGACATCATGGCTGCTGTGAATATGCACCCAAAACAGACAAGAAAAGAGCGACAGAGGGAGAGAAAGCGATAAAAGTTCATCAAGTGGTGGGGTGGAAGAGTGGTTGGAAATTTGCCTCAGGCAAAATTAATGGTGCTGTTAGGTACTAAGTCATGTGTTTCTAGTTTATTCACTCTCTTTTTTTTTTAACGTTTTCATCTGATCACAATAGGCCACAATTAGGGTTCTAATCTCACTGGTGTTGCATTTCAGAGCCACAGTTGTTGCGAAGTACAAAATCTACTGGGTGAAGATTCCTGGTCCTATAATTTCACAACCAAATGCATTTCCTTTTACGACACCTAAAGCTACAATAGGACCTTTGCCAACGTTAGATCCAGTTTCCCACTTAACCAAACCAGTAAGTAACAATTTTATTTTCTCTATAGAGATGGGATTTCACTATGTTTCCCAGGCTGGTAACTCCTGACCTCAAGCGATCCTCTTGCCTTGGCGTCAGAAAGTGCTGGGATTACAGGTGTTAGCCACTGTGCCCAGCTTAAGTAACGTTTTTATAGCTTCATTAAATGTGCTAAACATACAAAAAATTAGCTGGGCATGGTGGCACGTGCCTGTAGTCCTGGCTACTCGGGAGGCTGAGGCAGGAGAATTGCCTGAACCCAGGAGGCAGAGGTTGCGGTGAGCCGAGATTGCGCCATTGCACTCCAGCCTGGGTAACAAGAGCGAAACTCCGTCTCAAAAAAAAAAAAAAATGTGATGTAAAATAATATGTAGCCAAGTATAATGCCCATATATTATAAAATACAGAAGAGAAGGTAAGCAAAGTAAGACATTACATAGGAGTAAAGTGCTGTACTTAGTTTTCTCTCTGTGAGCAAAGGGGTAAATTTGTGATTGGAAATTGTGGTTCTGTGTACTTTGTGTGGCAAAGTGCATAGAGAAGTAGCTGTGCTGGGTAGTGGTAGCAAGTTTTTGGGCCCTCTGTAGAAATCTGAAGGAAGTCTTTATTGCAACATTATGATTTATAGGTTAGAAGGAAGGGAATGCAAGACCCTGCATGTTCAAGGTGTGGTTATGATATTCACATGTACTCTCTACTTGTAGTGTATATGTTTTCATTTGAAAATAAATCCGATGAAGTAATAGTTTCTTTCTTTCTTTCTTTAAAACACAGCCAGATATCAAATGAAGAGCTTAAGTTAAATTTAGACAAGATTTGGAGGAGATTCTTGAAGTAGTGATAAAACTCTTAGATCTCATTTCATTCAGGTCAAAGAGTACTAGGAAATTGTATATGCTGAACAACAGAAAATCTCTTGTAAATTTGTCAATTAGAATTTTATTTAGGCCCTCTGATTCAAAAGATTTATCATTGACAAGACATATCTTGGAAAGTGTTATACATATTAGAAACATTAGGAAGATGGGTTTTACTGCAGGAAATTCTGAGAAATTAGACTTCTTAATTCAGAAGTGTATACAATAAAAAAGTGTTGAGGCAGGTTGTTTAGTTGAAAGAACAAATGTGGGCCTAAATACTGACTTGCCTAATTTTCATTCTCAGTTTCCTTGCCTATAGAATGAGATATCATAATATTTAGCTCTGAGTATCACTGTAAGAATTAAACAAAATAATGAATGTAAGTTTTCTAACTGTACCTTGCATTTAATAAATGCTTCATAAACATTAGTTCCTTTTCGTTGCCCTTTTGTACCTCTTTGTTCACATAGGGAAGACAAAGTAATGAGCTTTGCTCCTTATTTTGTTTTCCTTCAACATTTTATAGCATATGGGCACTATATTTGATTACATTATTATGATTGTTGCACTTTTGTTTGACCATACAATTACATCTGTGATTTGTACTGCTCAGTTTAGTTTTAATGCTTATTTAATCAAAAGCTGCTTTAGGGAAATAAACAATCAGTTTGGACCTGAGCTTCCCACTAGGAATCTGCTGACAATATTGTTGTCTTCCCATATATTCAATAAAAGGCTCTTGTTGGAGCTTTTATTGTGTCTTTGTGCCATGTTTATAATCTCTAATTATAGGGAAGTTCATTCAGAGTCAAAGGATTATAGCATTTTTAGAGCTCGAAGATACATCAGGGTCTATTTCTTACAGTTTTCCTGTTATGTAGTTGAAGGTGAAAGAATCCGGAGAGAACAAGTCCTTTAGCAAACATGATGTAGGGAAGGGGAGAACAGAGACTAAAGTCCAAGTTCCTTGGTTCCCAGTGGCTTGTTCTCCTCACCCTCGTATGAAATGTCTTTACATTTCCATCAACTCTGGTTACATAATGTTTAGCGCTCTTCTGAATTTACTGTCACAGATCATTCGAACAAAGTCTGCTCATTTATCAAATTACAGAGCTGATTTTTTTTTTCTAAGACTCTTCACCTTATACTCTTTATCAAGAAGCTCTGGATGAAGTCATCCCATTGTTGCTTATTTCTCCCCCTACTAAATCACTACTGTTATTTGGATTGCTGGTAAATTGGGGCGACCATTTGTTTCTTATATCATTTTAGTATCAAATTTGAATCTGAATTCTAGAAGCAGAATCCACAATCTAAATATAATCACTTGCTAAGAATTTGTTTGTTTGCTTGTTAAAACTTCGTCTCTGAGAACTAGAGGATACCCTTTAGGCAGGAATGTCAGTGTCATTTAAGTCTCAGGGACTGAAATATTCCCTCAGAAATTTCTCAAAACTTATCAGAAACTTTGCTCCAAAACATACTTAATGTGAAATGTTTTATGTATTATAGGAGCTTGAATACTCTGGCATAATTAGAGTCTAATAAGTGTAAGTTTTCCAAATTTTAATTAAAATTAATTAAGTTTAAAAGTTCATAACCTAACTACTGCTCCGATCATTTTAATTTGAGATGTGTCTTTTGTTTCCTTATTTGAATGCTTATTATGGAAAGGTATTCTCATTAATCTGGGAACTACCCATACTTGAAGGTAGTTATTCTTCTGTCATTGCCAATGAACTGCTTGTTTAATAATTAAGATTTTTTTTTCCTCTGTCATTTTTCTAGTTCAGTGCCTCAGATTGTGGGAACAAGAAGTTCTGCATTAGGAGTCCTTTGAACTGTGACCCAGAGAAGGAGGTTGCCTGTGTCTTCTTGTCCTTCACAAGAGATGACCAATCAGTAATGGTTGAAATGAGTGGTCCCAATAAAGGCTACTTGTCCTTCGCATTGTCTCATGACCAATGGATGGTTGGTAACTCTCACTTACATAAGTGGTAACAAAGGAGGATCACTGGAGTGAGCTGTAATCAACAGCAGATTAGCTGTTTGTTCCAGGGACAAATGATCATACGTAACAGTGGAATAAGAAAGGAGAAACTAACTTAGGAGATTCTAAGTTAAACGGCTTTGAGTACTTTATAATTTTAACAGTTGGCCAATTACTTTTAAGAACAGGCTGTCCTAAGGAAAATTAGGAAAATCGTTTTATTTCCAGTGTATTTGCCATTTTATGTCTGTCTATCTCTGTGATAAAGCAGGAAATATGGTTAAGAAAAGTTGTTCTGCATAAAATGTTCTGTTTTTCATAACCAGAGTTGTTTATTCAAGTGGCCAGAACTAAAGCATGCGTTCCTGCTCTTGGTGTCCTATTTTAGTGGTCATCAGTGCATTTCCTAAACAGGACTTAAACTTGTATATCTAGGCAACGTGTATTACAGTAGGGTCCTTCGTCAAATCTGCAGAAGACAGCATTTATTTTGAGCTGATTCTCACTCTCCCTGGGTAGTGCTGAAATGGATTAAATGATTCTGTAGGTGGCAGCCTTGTGCTGTGGTGTGGAAGATCAGAGGATTGTATAAGCACCTCGGTTTCCTAGGGAGCAGGAAGAGTATTGTGGCCAGGATGTGTATAAATCCTTTCCAAGCAGAGTGGGCATTGGGTGATAAGGATGGCCAGAGATGGAGAAAGCCCCTTATTAGCACAGGCAAGGAGTCTTGTCTTGAGAGTTTTCTTCTTATCAGGATTTAAACTTAACACCACTTCTTTAGGGAATCATAGTTTAGAAAGAGACAGAACTCTGACATGGCTGTGATAGAAGAACTAACACTTTCCCTGAAGTTGCACTTGATCATATGGGTCCTGGAGCAGTGGTTGCAAGTATTGTAGGATGCTGGATGTAACTAACTTTCTTTAGTGGGAAACCATTTCAGTATGTGTATATGACCAACATATTTCACTAGACACCTCTAGAATGCACTTGCTATCCTCTTTCATTAAACAAAATATATACCTTAAGTCTATGAGATACAAAAGATATCATGTACTTAAAAAAATATCATATAAGAAATTGTGAATCTTTCCCCCTCAAAGTTGCTTGTATAGGAAATTTTATACTTGCTCAGCTGATGCGGTGATTGTTCAAAACATTTAACCCACTTCTTTTTGTGATTACCATCAGACTTGTAGCATGTTTTTTTTGGATATTCTCAGTGAACTAAGTTTAGTGTATGAGGTGAATGAGGTTGAGTCAAAAATAAAATGTGACTCTAAAGCAATAATGATAGGTAGCGGTAGTGCTGCTGTCACGTGAATGTGATTAAACTGGCTAGGAAGGAAATTCTGAAAATGAGTCCAAAAAGGATTAACTTGTTGAATGAATGTGTAGTTTCATTAAGGTTAATCTCTGAGTTATAGCACTCATTTAGATATATGCTGTAGTCACTTAAAAAAAAATAGACCCAACTTGTTCCAGTTACTTTATAGCCAAAATTCATGCTGTAGTGTATAGATACATTTCCTTTTACTGGTTACATAAAACCTGTAAGCAAGAGGCAAAGACTATTACTGCATTCACTGTGGTAATGAGTAGCCCACAGGTAGGCCAGTTATTCTGTTTTAATTGTAGGCATTGATGGCACAAAAGCATTTATCTCTAATTCAAGATATATTTATCTTACTTAGAAATCTTATCTGTTTCCAGTATAGTACTCATCAAAAATGTTTACAAAAAAGACTTAATTATGCAGGTGCAGTTGATTTACAGAGCAATACTGTTTAATGATTAAAGTAATCTGTACACCTGTTTGTCTAACTTGGAGGAAATGAATCAGCCTCAAAAATATATTATTAAAGTGGTAATTTCTATTTTTGGTTGTTACTTTTAAAACCTTACGGTATTTTTGTGACCTGCTGTTTCTTTGGAGTGTATAATGTAAATTTAAATACTGAAGGTATCTGATGTCACAAATACTGATTCAATAACCTAAATTATACCCCTTTACCAGTTTGGCTTGTGAACTAATGTTAGCAATTATTTTGGTATATTAGACCTCATCACTAAAATCAAAATGTGTAATTTACCCTATTTCTGATAATAGTGACTTGCTAATATCTGAATTTTAACTGAATTTCCAAGTACAATAAGTGCTCAATGCCATCAATAGGTTCTTGGATCCTTTGACTTTAAGTGAGGCTACATACAGCAGTTCCTTGAATGATGTCATTTCCTTCAATATCGTTTTGTTATGACATTGATGAAGAAAAAAATATTGACCATGTTGTATGTTGTTTTGCTTGAAGTCACTGTTTCCAAGAATTTGCCTACGACTTTAAGTGAAGATGTATTGTACATACCTCTTTCCTATTTGAGATATTTTGTGAAATAATGTAAAGTCTGTCAAGTATGCACATCATTAGCTTCTTTCCTTCTTCATCTTACTCCATACTTCATCTCTCCATGCCCCACTTCTAACTCCCTTGGACTCCAGACTGTGGTTTCCAGCTGCAGGCTGGTCTCGTCTAGATGTATGTTCCTGAACAGCACAAAGCAACATCTAAAAGACTGAACTTTTTATTGTGCTTCATAATGTCTCCCTGTGTTCCCCATTCTTGGTGATTAGCAATATCAGAAAAGCAGCTACCATTATTGATGGCTTGTTTCTTGTTGGGTACTGTCCTAGGCAATTTATAAACACCTCATTTACTGCTGCTGGCATCTTCTTTGGTATTCAGAGAAATGTTGGTTGTGACTTGGATTCCTTCCTTTCATCCATCTCTCAGGTCCTTCTTCCTGCCATTTCCAACTTTTTGTTTTGAAAGGTTTTCAACCTCCATAAAAGTTAAAAAGATAGTAAAATGAACACCCATAAGCCCCTCACCTAAATTTGCCACTTTATCTTTTTATTTCTGTCTAGCTCGGTTGTTTTTTGTGGTGTATGTAAATACATATTTCTTCTTAAACTATTTGAAAGTAAATTACAGATAATCATGACATTTCATTTCTAAGGTTTTCAACATGTGTCTCCTAAGAACAAGGACATTCTCCTACAATTACTACAATATCTTTATCACAAGAAAATTTAATAACACTATAATAATTTTATGTAACATACAATCTGTATTCCAATTTTCCCAGTTATCCCAATAAACTCCTTTATAACTATTTTTTAAAAGTGTTTCTTATCTAGGATCCAATCAGTTATTACTCAGGACATTTAGTTGTTATATCTCTTGGATCTCCTTTACTTTAGAACAGTTACTCTACCCATTTTCTTTTCTTTTTTTAAATTAAATTCAGGCCAGTTATTTTGTAGAACATTCTGCAATTTATAATAGATTTGTGTTAAGATTTTTTTTGCACAAATGCTACATAAGGATATTGTTTCCACATCAGTGCACTATTTCAAAAGTTTCTTAATGTCTAACTCTTCTATTATTGATGATAGTATGTTTGATCACTGGTGTCTGTCAGATTTCTGTATTGTGAAGGTCTATTTTCTTTTTGTAATGAGTAATACATGGGGTGATACTTTGAATCCGTATGAATATTCTGTTCCCCAATAGCCTGTAACTAGGTTTTTTCATTTATTGATGTTTGTCCTATAAATCAATTGTTACATTTGTGGTTGCAAAATTGGTGATCTTCTAACTTACTTATTAGCTGGCATTCTTATGAAAATAGGAGTTTTCTTTTCTTTGCACTTGCCCTTCCCTTTTGTAGTAACACTGTGGACTAATGGGTTTCTATGTCCATTGTATTGTAGTTTATTACCACCATTCATTCTTTTAGAGGGTCATATTGACCCAAATGTGGTCACTGGGAACCCTTTCAAGCTTCCGTGTGCTTTTGATGTGTCTTCGCTACTTTTGAGCGTGTCTTTATTTCTAGCGTAACAAGATATTCTCCATTCATACTTTCATGCATTTCATCATTTCTCAAAGGAGCTTTAATTCCTTTTAGTAGGAATAGTATCTAGAAATCAAGATTTGGGTGCTAATATGTTCACTGCTACTGATCTCCCAAGTACTTTTGAGTTTATCTTTGACATACCTCTTTCATTCTTTTTATTGCGTTATCATTATCTCTGACTTGGCTTATAGCTTTACTGTCTGCTTCCTGGACTGCTTCCATGATTTCCTCTTTCATTTCATCCTTCACACAGCCATTCCATTGGAATTTTCTCCCCAAGCCACATTTAAGATTGTCTTGGCTGGGCGCAGTGGCTCATGCCTATAATCCCAGTACTTTGGGAGGCTGTGGTGGAAGGATTGCTTGACGTTAGGAATTTAAGATGAGCCTGGGCAACTTGATGAGACCCTTATCTCCACAAAAAATTAGCTGGGTGTGGTGGCATGCACCTGTGGTCCTGGATACTTGGCAAGCTGAGGTGGGAGGATCTCTTTGTCCCAGGAGGTCAAGGTTGCAGGAAGAGTATTTGCACCGCTGCATTCCAGCCTGGGTGACAGAACAAGACCCTGTCTCAAAAAAAAAAAAAAAAAGAAAAAAAAATTGTCTTAAAAATATCCCTCCAAGCCTTTGGCAAAACTTTAGTAATTATAGAAAAACTGTTCTTTTCTTAAAGCATGGTGCACACTACCTTGGGAATACTTCTGGAATTTTCAGCCTTAGAGATCTCTTTTAATCCTTCATATATTTTAGCTAACAAACTACCTGTTTCTTAAAATTTTCGTATTTCTATATTATTGGTCCTAGAAGTTCTTCAACTTGGAAAAGCTTTCCTTTAATCTCATCTTTGCCTTGTCCTCCTATAAATATGTTTTATCTTCTCAGGTCTGCTTAATTACTGTCTTTTCTGATAAGCCATTTTCAATTATCTGGCCATATTTAATTTGTCTTTTCATGTCACTTTACCTATCTGTCTTCTTCATTAAAACACAGCTTTTGGTTGTAAGAACCATATTCTTACAATAACATCATCTTATTACTTCTCCCACAGTGTCCAACAAATGTTTTCTTATAGGATGCACTCTAAATGCCCCACTTGAGAGGGGTGGACTGGGGAGAGGGCTTCCGTACAGCCCAGGGATTTGATGTAAGCTCTTATATGGTGAATTTTTATGCTTTTAAACTTGAGGTTTCCAGAACTGCCTGGAGCCTGAGGTTGCGGTAGCACCTTCACTTACTCTTCATTTGGAATAATGAGAACTGAGAGTTACCTGCTCTCTATGCCCATAATCTTCTCTAATATTTGGGAGGTCTACTTGTTTGATTTTATTTGCCTTCTTATCCTCACTTTGCCTCAAATCAACCATTATTTGTATTGATTTTTTTTATACTACAAAAGAATTTCTGTGTCCATTCATGATAGATAGTCTAGAAAACATGCAATATTTAAATCAGGGTTCAGGCCCAGCATGGTGGCTCACACTTGTAACCTTAGCACTTTGGGTGGCTGAGGCAGGAGGATTGCTTAAGCCCAACATTTAGACACCAGCCTGGGTAACAGGGCGAGAATCCATCTCCAAAATAAAAAATAAATTGGGGTTTAGAAAACTTTTTCTATAAGGATGTTTTGGAGTTTGTGGGTGACAGGGTCTCTGTTGCAGCTACTACACTCTGGTGTAGTGTAAAAGCAGCCATAGGTGATATGTACATGCATAAATGTGGCTGTGTTCCAATGAAACGTGGACATTGAATTTCAGTTTGATATGTTTTCATTTGTCATGAAATATTCTTCTTTTCACCATTTAAGTATGTAGAAGTCATTCCTAGCCTATGAGCTATATAGATGCAAGCTTTAGGTTGAATTTGATCTGTAGGCCATAGTTTTTTGACTCCTGGTTTAAGGCATGATTGCTCCAAATTTATCTTGAATTTGGCTAATCCTGATTTTACTGTAATATGTGTAACAGTAAATAATTGCTTTGCTAAGAGTACATTCTTGAGAGTTTTCAAAAGTAGAACATTTAAAAATAAAGTTGAATCTGAAAGTATAGAAAGATGTTATAATTTAATATTGGAATTTATAGCAAGATTTGTTATAACTGGATAGTCTTGGACCTTGTTTAAGGAATTGGGTTACTAAAGCACATATTACAGCATTTCTTAGATAGTTTATGGAGAAACCAAGTGAAAGACCAAGCCATGGACAATAACTTAAAATCAAGATTATTCCTCTGTACCATTGTTTAAATGTACTTTGAAGTTACAATCTGCTTCTTTTTTGGTATTCTTTTTCATTCTTTTGTCCCCTATTAATTGACAGTCTGCTTTTCGATATCACTTTATTTTATTGTATTTTATTTCTATTTTTGGGAGACAAGGTCTCCGTCAGTTGCCCAGGCTGGTGTGCAGTGGCATGATCATGGCACACTGCAAACTTGACCTCCTGGGCTCAAGTGATTCTCCTGCCTTAGCCTTCTTAGTAGCTGGGACCACAGGCATGCACCACCATGCTTGGCTGATTTTTAAACATTTTTTTCTAGGATGAGGTGTCATCATATTGCCCAGGCTGATCTCAAACTCCTGGCTTCAAGCATTCCTCCTTCTTTGGCCTCTCAAAGTGCCGGAATTATAGGTGTGAGCCACTATGCCTGGCTTGATGATCATTTTAAAGAATAAGATCTAAGTTTCAGAGTTAAGGAATCTTGGAAACTAAAGTTTAGATAAGAGGTAGACTGACTAATTCCTTCTTGAGTGCAGATATTTTTGCCTCAGTTATATAACATTAAATCTGTTGAATATGTACACTATGTAGCAATATTTCTTTATAGTGTCTCCCATCTTAGAAGTTACCAAAAAAAAAAAAATAACCAATACAATGCAGTATATTCGCTCATTAAAATGTGTAGTACATTGATATTTATTAATAAATAAATATATGGAATATTGTTCATGGTAAGTTAATTGAAAAAAGTAACAGAACTCTGTATTTTCCTTTTTGGAAGGAACAAATAGGTATAATACAAATAAATTTGGGTATAATATGCATGAAATAGGTTTGGGTGAATATATATGAAAATATTAAAGTGGTATTCGATTAGTAACGGGTTTATGAGCATATAAACATGTTATATATCTATCTTAATCTATTATTTTACACTGAAATTTTGGGGCTTTTGTATTATAACAAAATTATTTTTAACTCACAAATTAGATAGCCAGTTCTCTAGAATTCATAGCGTAATTCATTCACAATTCAGTAAATTATGTTTTAAAAACATCAAATAATATTTGATTTCCTGAAATACTTTTTTTAAAAAAGAAAACAAAATGCTGAAATTCCTTCTAACTTTGTTCTCATTTGCAATTGTTTTTCAGGGTGATGATGATGCTTATCTGTGTATTCGTGAAGATCAGACTGTGTACATCCAGCCTTCCCATTTAACAGGGCGAAGTCACCCTGTAATGGACTCCAGGGTAGGTGTGAAAATTCTTGGAACCTCCACCTGGAGACCCGCTTTCCGGCTGTGTGGCTATCACTGGGGTGGCTGTGCTGCGAGTTTGCCTCTAACCCCCGAAGTTATAGCCTAGCCTGAGCAGGGGCCTGCCAGTAGGGCTCCTCTCATAATGGTCTCTGAGAAACTTTTCTACACTTCGGAAGTTTGTCTTGTAGGGACAGATGAATTCTTGCTTGTGTCACTTACATCCTTTTTGTTGTAGCTTACAAAAAAGTACTTTGTGGCTTATTAAGATGGTCAGGGCATCAGCTGCTTTTCAAACGCTTAAAGACAGGTTTTTAAGAAGAGAATGACGTTAGTGACAAAATTTCTTGACTAGTAAGAAAGAGGAGCACATTCAGCAAAGACCAGAGATGCCTTGGACAGTTGTCTTAAGTGTCCTTTGTTGGCATGTGTGTCAAAGGTGGACAATTTCTGGTAGAGAAATATCTTTTTTGCGGGACAGCTGACAGGCAAATGAGCTCTGAAGGAGCAGTAGCTATCACTTAATGACATAACTGTGCACAACTTTCCCATGGGGCTGAATCCCACGGCTAGCTTGGAACTTCTCCCCAGTTGCATGTTGCATTTTGGCCACTAGGGTAGTACTTGTTTTATTTATTTATTTTTTTCAATATTTTTGATTGTATACTAGTGGCCAGATGGAATTAGTACATCTGCTAAAATTTCCTACCTAGGTAGAGGAATCGTGGGGTTCTGGCTCAAAGTAAAAATATTATTATCATTATTTGCCAAATGGCCTAAAGACAAATAAACTGGGAGAAAATGTTTCTTGTTCTCTTCAAAGAGGAAGTGGAAAAACAATGACACTGCAGACAAAGCATGCACATATGATCTTAGAGAAAGGAAACTGAACAGGGCAGGATTTTGATCATATCTTATTTTTAGCAAATCTTTGGAAAGTGCTGAGAAGACCCATTGTGTGTGTTTGTAGGATAGCCTTGAGGATATGGCTTGGAGGTTGGCGGATGGTGTTATGCAGTGTTCTTTCAGAAGAAACATTACCCTTCCTGGAGTCAAGAATAGATTTGATCTAAACACAAGCTATTACATATTTCTAGCAGATGGTGCAGCTGATGATGGTAAGTATATTGTTAAGCTGTCTTTTCAAGTATTTTTTTTTTTTTTCTATTTTCTTCCCTTTCTTTTCCCCATTTTTGGAAAATCTACTGTAATTGCCCATTTTGTAGGCACACACTCTCCTATAAATGTTAAATTTTGCCAGAAACTGAATAAAGGTAGAAAAATTTTGCTGGAAACTAGGCAGAGATAGAGTGTCCATTGTGTTATAAAGCAACATTACTCATGATCAGAATGGCTTCTGACTAGTAGAATGGATATGACCAGAAGAACTATAAATACCTTGTAAGAAGCCATATCTTCAGGCTTCCCTGAGTCTAGTGATAGTAGATTAACTTTGCAGGGGACCTAGAAACGGTGCCTTTGGGGTTGCTGCAAGACTTACTGGCTTCTCTGGGAAAACTTGCCCAATATGAATCTCATCTCCTTAGACTTGTGCTTTCTTTAGGGAGCTGGGGAGGGGAAAAAGAGAATGAGCAGCTGAGTAGGCCACTGTAAGACCTCCTGTGGAGGGGGGAAATGCCTCACACTGCCCTGCTGGTGTGGTGTATTTCCTGTCTCCCATCTTTCTACGTGACTCTGATGCTAAGTACAGCTTAACACAGTTTTATGAGTCTGAATCTTTAGTTTATTCTCAAGAAGACTACCCTGGTGGATATTGCAACACATATTAATAGGAATAATTCGATTTTGTTTGAGGTCTTGGCTAATGGTTTTTGAGGAACTACAGGAAACACCAATGTAGTTTTTAGTAACTCATCTCTTAGGAGATAACGCTGCTCCAAAACTTTGAGAATATCGCCCACTTTGAAAATGGTGAGAAGGTAGATGTCTAGAATGGAGAGACAGGGATGAAGTAAAGGAAAGGAAGAGCAGAAAATGTGATACAGGCAAATTGTGAAAAGCTTACAATTCTACCATGTGTTTTAGATTTTCTACTCTTGGTAAAGCAGACTCCCAAAAAGTTTTGAAGCAGGATAAAATATCTGCTCAATGTTAAAATTTAGGAACATTTAAATTAATTAATTAACCTGTTTATTTTTATTAATTTATTTTTTTAACTGAAGGAAGAATGCCAAAGGAACACTTTTAGATTTAGATATAGGTGATACATGTAGTTATCTTAGTCATGTACTCTTGTTTGCACCAGCAACAGCAAATATGGCTTGAAAGTAATTTCTTAACATGGCTTGATAATAATGAGTAAAAATTTCATAATATGAGTAATAATTTCTTAATGTGGCTTGACAATAATGAGTAAAAATAACTCAGTGCTTACTGAGTGCCAGTCAGTGGCTAAGCATTTTGGATACAGTCTTCATTTTTATTGTCATAAAATACAAGCTAGAGATGTGCTATTATTATCTCTTTTATCTAAGAGGAAATTGGGACTTAGAAAGGTGAAGTAATTTGCCCAGACAGGTAAATAGTACAGTTGGAATTTGGCCTTCAGAGCCTATTCAGTATTCAGCACTTTAGAACATGGGAAATGAACTGGGTGCAGTGGCTCACGCCTATATTCCTGGCACTTTGAAAGGTCAAGGCAGGTGGATTGTTTGAATCCAGGAGTTCCAGACCAGCCTGGGCAACATGACAAAACTTAGTCTCTATTCAAAAAAAAGGAAAAGAAAAAGAAAAAGAAATCAGCTGGGGGTGGTGATGTGCACCTGTGGTCCCAGCTACTCAGAAGGCTGAGATGGAAGGAATGCCTGAGCCGAGGAGGTTGAGGCTGCATTCTAGTCTTGGCAACTGAGGGAGACCCTGTCTCAAAAAGAAAAAGAACATGGGAAATCCAGGGAATTAATTTTAATGAGGAAAAGGTCGAGTATTTGTGTTTTCAAGCAGCTACCACTAAAGTGCTGGTCATTGTGGTGGTATTACAATTTCAGCTATCACTTGTTGCATATTACATGTATCTCATTTACTTCTCACAGAGGCTTTGTATGTAGGTGTTTTGGGGCTTTTTTTAAGAGATAAGGAAACTGGGACCTAGTAGGGCCAAGCAACTTGTCCAAAATCAAACAAGTAGCAGAGTCAGGAATTAAACCTAGGTCACTTCCAATTACGAAAGTTATATCCTTTCTATAACATCAGACTGCTTCTTTTGGTGTCTGTGTTAGTCCGTTCTCACGCCACCATAAAGAACTACCTGAGACTGGGTAATTTATGAAGAAAATAGATTTAATTGATTCACAGTTCCACAGGCTGTACGGGAAGCATGGCTGGGGAGGCCTCAGGAAACTTACAATCATGGCAGAAGGCAAAGGGGAAGCAGGCGCGTCTTACATGGCAGCAGGAGAGAGAGAGAGAGAAGGTGGAAGTGCCACATACTTTTAAACGATGAGATCTCCTGAGAACTCATTCACTATCATGAGTAAAAAAGGGGGAAGTGTGCCCCCGTGGTTCAGTCCCCTCCCACCAGGCCCTTCCTCCAACACATGGAGAGTACAATTCAAAGTGAGACTTGGGTGGGGCACAGAGCCAAACCATATCAGTGCCCAACATGTTATAGATGCTTCATAAATGATTATTGATTCAAATGGATTTCTTAAATTGCTAGGGGATTTAACAGTTTATACATTTTAAAATTTTATACTTAAAATTATACTTTAGAGCCGGACACAGTGGCACATGCCTGTAGTCCCAGCTACTTGGGAGGCTGAGGCTGGAGGATCCCTTGAGTCCAGGAGTTCTGGGCTGTAGTGCGCTATGCTGATTGAGTGTCTGCACTAAGTTTGGCAACAATATGGTGACCTCCCAGGAACGGGGGACCACCAGGTTGCCTAAGGAGGGGTGAACCAGCCCAGGTCGGAAATAGAGCAGGTCAAAACTCCCGTGCTGATCAGTAGTGGGATTGCGCCTGTGAATAGCCACTGCACTCCAGCCTGGGCAACATAGTGAGACCCAGTCTCTAAAACAAACAAAAAAATTATACTTTAGAGAAAAACTATTTCATTTAAATGGAAGAATTCTGTTGTATAATAAATTTTATGTGTGTGAGTATACAGCAGGTGAAATGTTTCTTCATAGGTTAACAATGTAGAAGTCAGAACATGTTTTCTTTTAAATGGTAGTTCTAACACTCCCTCAGAAACACCTAGATAATGGATGATCCATGTGAAAATAGAGAATTGTTCCCCCTCTGTTTCTGGGTGATGTCGCTTTGCTGATGGCATGGGAGGGAAAATCTCTGTCTTGGCTCCTTGGTGGTGTTTCTCCAAGTGTGGGGCTTAATGTGCTTCAGAACCACCTGGAGTGACTGTTAGCAATGCAGATTCCTGAACTCCATCTCAGACCCACTGAGTCTCTTTTGTTGGTGCATGGAATCTGCATTTTAGTAGGCATCCCAGGTGGTTTTATGTGTGCCGTAGTTTGATAGCTTACTGCTCCAGGATGGGGTTTTTCCAAGTAAGGTATGCACATTGCAAGGCCGTCCAGGGGATACAGGGAACAATACTAGAACTTTGTTTAGATTTACTTTTATGTCATTAAAATTTTAAATATTTTAACATATTTTATAGTGTACATCAGGGATCCCCAACCCATGGGCCATGGACTGGTACTGGTCTGTGGCCTGTTAAGAACAGGGCTGCCTAGCAAGAGGTGAGTGGTGGGCGAATGAGCATTACTGCATAAGCTCCGCCGCCTGACAGACCAGCGGTGGCATTAGATTCTCATAGGCATGTGAACCCTATTGTGAACTGCGCATGTGAGGGATCTACGTTGTGTGCTGCTTATGAGAATCTGATGCATGATGATCTGAGGTGGGACAGTTTCATCCCAAAATCATCCCTCCCCATCTTCCATGGAAAAAGTGTCTTCCATGGAACTTGTCCCTGGTGCCAAAAAGGTTGGGGACTGCTGGTGTACATAAGATATTAATATATATTAATATATTAATATATATTAGATGTAATATATATTAATACAATATATATTAGGTGTAATAGATATCAGATATTAATGCAATATACAATTAATGCAATAAACATGAATCTGTTTATTAACAAAAATATACATATATTAGGGGCACATGTTAATTTTTTTTTTTATAATGGTACAGTGCAAAGCACAAGAAACAAAACACTCCAATAAGCAAACCTGGAGATTGCTACTCCTGGGAATTAATTTTACAATCTTTTTGTACTGGGGAACAAAGGTCAGTTACACATAAATCATTGCCTCTTCTATTACTTAGCTTTATGTATGTGGACCATTTATAAATTGAATTCTGCTTAAAAGCAGTAAGACTTTGTAAGATTTAAGCCAATTTTCAAAGCAATCATATAATCTCTGTAACCCATATAAATGTAAAATGTATCCAGTTTCGGTAACGTCTCCTAACAATGTATCCATTTAAAGCCTTTTTCTAACTGCTATTTTCCCCATATTGCTGCTGTTCTCCTGTCTTGGGATAAGCAGTCATGTGAAGTACTGAGTGTTTAAACTGAAAGGTAGAAATCACTTGGGTAATTAAGTAATTCACAATTAGGAAATCTACCAATTTTAATAATTAATGAAGTAGAGACATGGCAATCACATGACCTGTTATTTAAAGAATTTAGAAATACTGTAGGTCAGCTATTCCTGCCGGTTCTTGCACGAAGCATGAACTCCCTTTGAGCAAGACTGCAAAATTATAATGGAGCCACACAATGGAACTCTGAAATCATAATGGACTTCTGCTTTCATGAAGGCTAAGTTCATGCTTAGTTCATGACTCTACAGTGATTCAGAGTTTAGACACATTTTCTTCCAACTTGTCTCTCGGGCTTGTTGAGCTTGCAGCTGCTTTCTCATCACTACCACTCAATGAATGCAGGATTTTAGCTTCCCTAGTGCCTTTCTTGTCATTTTTGATAGTTTTCTTGATCATTTTCTTTTTGACGCTTTTGTAGCTCCTGACAGTTATTGTCTTTTTTCTTCTTGAGATTCTCTTCTCTAGCATTCATTACATAAAACCCTTCTTTCTCATTTTCTGGTTTATAACAAGCCATAGTAAAATAGTATTCACTGAATGAGAAACCAGATGTCCTAACACCACTTTTTGAATAGTCCACGTTTTCTGACTGCTTTAAAAGCCTCTTTATCATACACTAAAAGTCTATCAGTAAATTGAATTATTTCTAGTTTATCTGTCTTCTATTGATATATTTGTCTATTTCTACATTAGTTAGAATTACTATTGCTTTATAATAGGGTTGTGAGTTTTGATAGAACATGATTCCCCTTTTGACCTTTTTTAAGAATTTTTGCTTATTCATGTGTATCTGTTCTTTTAGATAAACTTTAGACATAATTTGTCAAATTCTTCTATTTTTGAGACAGAGTCTTACTCTGTTGCCCAGGCTAGAGTGCAGTGGTGCAATCACAGCTCACTGAAGCTCGACCTCCCATGCTCAAGTGATCCTCCCACCTCTGCCTCCCAACTAGCTGGGACTAAAGCCATGTGCCACCATTCTCAGCTAATGTTTTGCATTTTTTTGTAGAGAAGGGGTCTCGCCATTTGCCCAGGTTGTTCTCCAACTCCCTGGCTCAAGCTGATTTGTCAAATTCTATTAAAAACCCTGTTGAGGTTGTGATTGAAATTGTAATGCAATTTTAGAGCAATTTAGAGAATAATAACTTGGTGCAATAGTGAGTCTGTCTATGCAGGAACACACTGGGATATTCCGTTTATTCAGATCCTGCTGGTTTTGTACATATCTTCATATAGGGCATATATATGTGGTAACTTTGTTCCTATATATTTTATAGTTCTCTAAACCAAATTATTATGAATGGGATTGTTTTTCATATGTTTTCTAAATATATTATCATATAGGAAAGTTGTTATTCATTATTGAGTATTTATCTTAAATTTAGGTGTCCTAATTTTCCAGTTGATTATCTTGGATTTTTCTGGATAAATGTCATATCCTGTGCAAATAACAACAGGTTAATAGCCCTCATTTCCTTTCTTGTCTAATTGCATCATCTAGTTCTTGCTGAATAATGTAGAATGGTAACAGGGAGGTGGCAAGAATTTTTGTGGTATTTTTTATTTTGATGCAAAATGTTTCTGATATTCAATGTTAAATGTCTTGTTCGTTGTATTTTTTTGTGGATATCCTTTATGATGTTGAGGAAATATTCTTTTGTTTCTAACTTTACTAAGAATTCATATCATGAATGGGTGCTGAATTTCATCAAATGTCTTTTGGGCAGTGATTGAGATGATATTTTGTCATTACTTTAATAGATTTCTGGATGGTGAATGATCCTCACATTCCTGGGATAAGCTTTACTTCGTCATGTTTTATTATTCTCTTAATATATGATGGATTTGATTTACTAATATTTTCTTTAGGCTTTTTACACGTATATTCGTAAGTTATTTAGGCTTGTGGTATGGGGACTGTGTGTGAATTTGTGGGGTGCTTGTGTGAATGTACACATGCCTAATTTTGATTTCAGGATTGTAGTAAACTGATAGAGTGAACTCTAGAAGAGTTTAAATAAAAAAGAATTTTTAACTAGTGAGACACAGTGGCTTACACTGTAATCCAAGCACTTTAAGAGGCCGAGGCAGGTAGATCACTTGAGCCCAGGAGTTCAAGACCAGCCTGGGCAACATTATAAAACCCCATCTCCACAAAAAATACAAAAATTAGCTGGGCGTGGTGGTGTGCGTCTGTGGTCCCAGCTACTTGGGAGGCTGAGGTGGGAGGATCTCTGGAGACTGGGAGGTCAAGGTTGGAATGAATTGTGATTACACCACTGCACTCCAGCCTGGACAAACAGAGTGAAACCCTGTTTCAAAGAAAATTAAAAATAACATAAAATTAATTAAGGAAAAATTTTAATGATATGGTAGAACCCACCCATATAACAGGCTGGATGTTCGATGAAGATATCTGACTAATTAAAAAGAATTTTTCTATTGTTATTACTCTCCGTGGCTACTACTAGTTTGGTCAATTTTTTGTAATTCTATATTTCTTTTCCCAAATGCATCCATTTCATTTAGATTTTGAATTGTTTTTGGGCTGCTTTAAAGTTGTATACAGAGTTTTTATACAAAGTTGTCTTCTATATTAGAAGATTTAGATTTCTAACATTATGGTATTTCCTTTCATTGTGTGGTCAGAGTTGCCAAAAACTCAAGGTATTTTAATTATCCTTTTAGAAGACTGATTTTTTTTTTTTTAATTTTTAGGCTCTGTAGCTTAAGTTCTACCTTTAGTTTTAACTGATATTCTTTTTTGGTTTCCCAGGTTATATTTTGTTATTTTAGATGCACCTTGAATGAAATGATTACTCTGTGTGTGTGTGTGTGTGTGTGTGTGTGTGAGTGTGTGTGTGTTAGGAAATGCTTTTAAGATGATAAAAACATTTTTGAACAGTACCTTGACTGCATCACACATGTTTTGTTATGAAGTGTCTTTATTGTTATACATCTTGATGAAGACATGTAATTTTAGTTATTTATTTATTTTATTTTTTATTTTATTATTATTATTTTTATTTATTTATTTATTTATTTTTCAAGACGGAGTTTCACTCATGTTACCCAGGCTGGAGTGCAATGGTGCGATCTCGGCTCACCGCAACCTCCGCCTCCTGGGTTCAGGCAATTCTCCTGCCTCAGCCTCCTGAGTAGCTGGGATTACAGGCACGCACCACCATGCCCAGCTAATGTTTTGTATTTTTAGTGGAGACGGGGTTTCACCATGTTGACCAGGATGGTCTCGATCTCTTGACCTCGTGATCCACCTGCCTCAGCCTCCCAAAGTGCTGGGATTACAGGCTTGAGCCACCGTGCCCGGCCGTTAATTTTTTATTTAACCAAAAGGTTATTAAAAAGTAGTTTTATAAATATCTAGGTGGGCCATTTTCCCCCTAGATTTTTGGTGTTAATTTTTAGTTTTGTTGCATTTTGGGAAGATAAGATAATGTTTATCCTTTTATTTCCTTTTGGAAATTATTGAGATGTAGTTTGTGGTCTAGTATTTATAATTTGTTTTAGACAAAGTTTCATATATTTATTATATTAAATATCTTATTTTTGATGCAGCATAGTATTCTAAAAATATGTATGTTCCAGAATTTATTTACTCATTCTCCTGATGATGGATATTTAGTTTGTTTGCTTTTTTTTTTTTTGCCGGCATAGAAAACATTGCTGTTAACATTCCTATACATATATCGTTGGTAAGATAGATTCCTAGAAGGAACACACACAGATCCACATACACTTGGAATAATTCTGTAGATTCACTGATTTAATTTTGTACACAATAAATGGCAATAATAAATAATGTATCCTCAATTTGCTTATGTCACTACTATTTGGGATTTTGGTTTGTTAGTCAGTTCGAATTGACCATGTGTGAATAACATGTCATAAAATACTTTTCTTTGTCTTCCAACCATTCTTTTTACCCCAGACCAATTTCAGTTAGTTTATTACAGGATTTTATATGCAGGTAGTAGTCAATGGGTTGTAGATTTTAAAAAAATATGTATTCTCTTTCAAGAATTTTTTTTTCATTTTCAATGATTTGTGACCATATTAACAGTAATTGTTTTAATTTATTGTTTAACTTGTCTCTTTATGCCACCAGTTCTTTTACCAGACATTCTCCATTCCTAGTTCTATTTTAATTCCTCTCTTGGTTGGCTACATTATATAACTTTCTTCAGGAAGTCTGTGTGCCCCTGCATATATCTTTATGCTGCTTTTGCATATGAATGACATCTCTGTTGATATGTAATTTATTATTTATTTATTTATTTATTTTATTTATTTTTTTTTTTTGGGACGGAGTTTCGCTCTTGTTACCCAGGCTGGAGTGCAATGGCGCGATCTCGGCTCACCGCAACCTCCGCCTCCTGGGTTCAGGCAATTCTCCTGCCTCAGCCTCCTGAGTAGCTGGGATTACAGGCACGCGCCACCATGCCCAGCTAATTTTTTGTATTTTTAGTAGAGACGGGGTTTCACCGTGTTGACCAGGATGGTCTCGATCTCTTGACCTCGTGATCCACCCGCCTCGGCCTCCCAAAGTGCTGGGATTACAGGCTTGAGCCACCGCGCCCGGCCTATATGTAATTTATTTTTTATTACCTTAAGAAATTTTGTTGCTATGCCCTGCCCATATCTCTATTTCTTTTTTCTTTTTTTTTTTTTGAGGAAGTAATTATTCTTTGTCATTTTTCTTTCTTTTTTTTTTTTAAATTTGCAGGTCGAATTTACAAGCACTCTCAGCAACCTTTGATAACCTATGAAAAATATGATGTGACAGACTCTCCAAAGAACAAAGGAGGATCCCATTCTGTACTCCTTCTGAAGGTTCATGGTAGGTTACATGTGTAGTAATATTATTACTTTGTGGAATCCACTTACCTGCTGACTCAGTGCTGGCTGGATTAGGAATGGTTGTGGGCATAATTGAGCTAACTTTTATAAAGCTTTTATGTTTAAACACTAACACTTGCAGGCAGCAGCATCTATTATTATTATTTTGACACAGCTGTTGGTAAGCATTATCTATCTTAATCTTTGCTAATTTTCATTAAAAATGGAGACTAGGGCTAATTCAGTGGTTTTAACCTTGGCTATATATGAAAATCACCAGCGGAGGTTTTAAGACATTTATAATTTTGAAAAACTATCCTAGTTGTTTCTAACTGCAGCCAGGGTCAAATATTACTGGGTTAATTTAACTTTTATGAGACCTTAATTTTTACTGTTCATTAAAATAAATGCTAATAAAAGAGTGGCCTGTGATTTTGATTGTTTAATTATAACAGTAATTTGGTTTCAAAGGTACAATTTTGTTGTTGCACTGATGAATGTAAGTATTTGAGAGCATACAAAGTACTTAGTGCTATACTTAGTCTTCGTGGATAATACCTAAATGAGGAATAGAATGAAGTTGGAAGAACAGTATCCTAAAAACAAGGCTCTAGGCTGGGCTCGGTGGCTCACACCGGTAATCCCAACACTTCGGGAGGTTGACATGGGTGGATCACCCGATGTCAGGAGTTGAAGACTAGCCTGGCCAACATGGTGAAACCATGTCTCTACTAAAATATAAAAATTAGCCAGGCATGGTGGTGCATGCCTGTAGTCCCAGCTACTTGGGAGGCTGAGTCAGGAGAATTGCTTGAATTCGGAAGGCGGAGGCTGCAGAGAGCTGAGATAGCACCACTGCACTCCAGCCTGGGCAACAGAGTGAGACTCTATCCCCAAAAAACCAAAACACAAAAAATAAAAAACAAAAAACAAACCAAGACTCTTACCATACTCTGGTTCTACAGATGAAAATTGATTTCATTTGAAAACTAGCCTGGCTTATTGTTAAAAGGATGGGATTAAAAAGTATGGGAATAGTGTAGTATATACTAAACTACTCTAAACTATTAGTGTTTTAGGAGAAACTTTCCTTATTTGGGATATCCCCTTTATATTCTCCAGAGTTATCCATTATAGTAAAGTTTTTATAAATGCCATCACAGTTAAACTTGAAAATAACTTTATTGTCAATTTGCTTCAATTGATACTGTAGCTCCAGTTTGGTAGTAACTGGATTCAGAAATAATGTGCCCATTTTTTTTCATTGTTTTTTGGAGTGAGATATGAGAAGATTTTGAAATAACTGCAGACAGGCAGCTATTAGCATAGTGGTTAAGAGCACAGTTGCTGAAACCAGTTAGGGTTTGTAGCCCGACTTTGTAACCTTGGAAGAACTACTTAATTTCCCTATGGGTTTGTTTCCCTATTCAGCAAAACTGGAATAATAATTATAACTACATCATAGGATTGTTGTAAAGGTCAACCAAATTAGTATATGTAAGCATTTAGAATGCCTAGCACATAACAGGAACTACAGAATTGTTTGCTGTTTGAAAGAATAATGGTAGTAAAACTAAGATGTATAGCAACTTTTAGGTTGTACTTGTGTCAGCTGAATGTATTTTGCTTCTGTTTATATTTTCTGAGCATTTGGCTTGGTCATTTAAGCAACAGCTTGATTAGTTTGTGATTGTCTGCTATTGCATTTATCTCACTTGCAGGTGCCTTAATGTTTGTGGCATGGATGACTACTGTTAGCATAGGTGTACTGGTTGCCCGATTCTTCAAACCAGTTTGGTCAAGAGCTTTCTTCCTTGGTGCAGCAGCTTGGTTTCAGGTAGGTGAGGGAAAAAAAGTTCAATGCAATTTTCCTAGTATTTGAACATTGCAACATGAAAACATATGAAGTATGTAGGTATGCGTTTAGTGGTTGCAGTGGTAGGTTTGGGTTCCTCCTTTTTCCCTTTGGTTTCCTGATCAATGGAGAGTGGACACAAGATGCTTGATAGAGATAAGAATACAGACAGTTTTAGGAAGAGTCAGGCTGGCCTGGAGAATGTGTCAGGGCCATGTGAGTCCCTTTGTAATATGGACTTTGAGACCCAATGACTTTTACTTATACTCCGTTTGTAGAGGGAGATGTTGGAAGAGTATTCACCCACTGCACTGCACTGAGTAAAGGCAGGCCAAGGAATGTGGGGGAGCTGAAGAAAGAAATAGTGGGTGCTTCCTGTGTTTCAGTCTCTCCTCTGGTTGTGGGCCATTGAATGTTAGATTATCTCTATCTCACCAGTTGGGATCATCTATCTCCTGTGTGGGTGGGAGGAGTAACTGAAATTATTCTATTTCGTGTTCTTCCTTCCCGTGGTTTGGGAAGGCAGTCTACTAATAGGAACATAGCAAGAGGCAATGAATTCCTTCAGAACAAAGAAAAACAAACCTTATCTTTCATGGGTCATGGAGTATAGAAATTTACATATATAGTGGAAAATCAATGAGCTCATGTTGAGTTAGAATGTACATGCCTGTAGAAAAAAATACTGCTTGTTGGAACAGTTTTGACTCTGTAAGAGGGTATCCTTGACACTTAATGTTCATATAAATTTGTAGATGGTAATAGCCTCATTTCTCGCTATTACCTGGGAGGGCCGATCTGTTTGATTTGTTCTCAGTACTGCTATATGGCTTACCTTGCTCCTTTCTTTCTCTGCCTGTGGTTTTGCTTCCAGGTAACTGCTTTCTTGCTTGCACTTGTGTGCTTTTGCTCTTGTGCTCTCTCTCTCTTATCTGCTCATGTGGATATTCCCAGCTGGAAGACTCTTTGTGTCTTCCTTCATCAACTCAAATCCCCCACTGCCTTTAAATTTATGATGCTGATGATGTGTGTATATACATGTCATAGTTTTATCTCTATCTCCATCCATCCATCCATCTATCCACCCAGCCATCCATCCATACACACATACATACACAGGGTGCCTGCTACTTTCCCCAAGATAGCTTCTGTCTACACCAGTTATCCTGGCATAATCAATAAACAGTGGCCATTTTCACACTTATTATTCTCCTGATTTGTATCATGAATTATGTATTTCACATATTTTTCTCTTATTGACTCAATTATATCTGAAGTTCCTCAGGAGACAGTATTTTTTTTGTTTGTTTCCTTACTATCTCATTGCACCTGGTATTGCACTTTGCTTGCTGGTGGAGCTTGATAAATATCTTTGGAAGAAAATGAAGGACTTGGCAAGTAAATATGCTCCGTGTGTGAAATATCCATTCCTGCTGCTCTGTGCAGGTGAAGTCTTGGCAAACACTTTTGAATGATGAGGACGGCAGCTTAGGGTTTTCTTTAAAGTTTAATGGTATACTAAAGTTTTTATTTTATTTATTTTTTTAACCCAACTACAAACTGTGATTAGATGTCAGTCAAATGCTTGCCTTCAGTGAAACTTACCCTATGGTCTTTTCCCCATTTTTCCCATTATAACACCACCTTTCTCTTACATGGTTAAGTGTCTTGTGAATTTGTCATTTCACCTTGCAGGTGCATCGGATGCTCATGTTCACCACAACTGCCCTCACCTGCATTGCTTTTGTTATGCCCTTTATATACAGGGGAGGCTGGAGTAGGGTAAGTGTATCTTAAATAAGATTTTTTTTATATAAATCCATTCTGATATCAAAATAGATTGCTGTTTTATTCTCAGATGATGGGTAAAAAGATATTTCTGCATCAATCCCTCTTTCCCTTTTGAATCATTGGATGGCTCTTTCACATGGTTGGAGGTAGGGTGAGGATGTCACTACAAAGTACTTAGCAATGAAATATATTTTTAGACTGCATCATGAGTGATATACATGCTGTAGCCTAATTCAATGTGTGATGCTTAAGGAACATGAACAATGTGAGTGGTTTTCTCTAAAAGTACTGTGATGACCGCTAAGCTAACATAATTTGCATTTCTACTCTGTACCCAGCTGTGCTAAGTGCTTTATATGTGTTATCTAACTTAAATGTCAGGCTGGGTTTGGTGGTTCACACATGCCATCTAGCAGTTTGAGAGGCTGAGGCAGGAGGATTGCTTGAGCCCTGGAGTTCAAGACCTGGAGTTCAAGATATGGGCAACATAGTGAGGCCTCATCTGTATATATTTCATTTAAAAATCTTTAAATCTCAGATGTAGTAGTTATTAATAATAATCCCATGTCACAAATGAAGAAACTGATGCTTATTCTCAAATGTTTATCTCCAGTCCAGACTTCTCCTGTGGCTTGAGACTCACATATCTAGCTCACATTGCCTTCCGAACCTCAACTTGCATGTCTAAGATGTCAGACTTAACATGTCCAAAATGGGACTCCTGATCATCTTTTCTCCCAGGCCTGCTGCACACATTGCCACCTCCATGGTAGCTAATGGAATTGTATTGTGAGATCAAAGCCTTGGAATTATCATTAACTGTGTTCTCTTGCGCATCCCATGTCTCATCCATTGGGGAATCCCATTGGCTCTACATGTAAGGTACATCCACAGTCCAACACTTGTCACTGTCATCAGATACTACTGTAGGAGTGTAAGCCTCCATCATCTTTTGCCTGGCCATTGCAGTAGCCACTTCACTGGTTTCTCCACTTCAGCCCTTGCCCATGCACAATCTATTTTCAACAAAGAAGACAGTTACATATATATTTAAATGTAAACCAGATCATGCCATTCTTGTATCCTAAACTGGTTTTTCTAATGTCTCTCAATTTTACTCAGAGTAAAAGCCAAATTTCTTCCAGGGACCTTCATGACTGGCTCCCAGTTATTCTCTAAACTGACCTCCTTGTCCTCTCCATCAAATGCATCTCCTTCCATACTGGCCTCCTGGCCGGTATACAGACATACCAGGCATGGTCCTGCTTTATAATCTTTGCCATGCTTCTTCTTTCTGCCTGGCACACACTTCCATACTCCCTTACCTTCCTCAAGTCTTCGCTTATATTGAAGCCTCTCAGAGAGCCCTGCCCTGCTCTATTTTTTCCCCATAGTACACTTTACTTTATGCCATTTCACATAATTTACTTGCTTGTCATATTTTTTTTCTTGATCTCCCTTCTAACACTACTATGTCAGCTCTGTAAGAGCCGGGATATTCTTTCGTATGTTCACTGGTACATACCAGAATAGATTTAAGTACATAGCAGGTACTCAGTAAATATTTAGTGAATGAATGAATAAGTCTTACTGAGAGTAAGTGACGTGTAAATTCAGAGCCCGTGCTTTCATTTTGCTTTTCCAGTTTTATAGCCAATGAGAATTTGATACCAAAATTTCATATTTTAGAGCTTGGGCTGGTGCCACAGGGATAAGACTGATGCATCTTGGGTCACAGATATTACTAGAAAATCTCCCTCCTGCTTTTTAGGCAGTTTACGGGTCAGTCAACATATCTCTTTAAGAAAATTATTAAGATTTTTGTGATATAAATTGAGACATGAGAACTTTATTTTATTAAGACATTTGGGACAAGGGTAACACTTATTTTGTAATTTTGTAGTTTATAGCCTTTGCAGTTTCTGAATAGGATAGAAGAAAGGCTAAGAGCACCATTTTAAAACTGGATTCCTGAATTCAAATCCTGGCTCCAAGACTTATTACCTGGGATGCCTTGGGCAAGTTATTTAACTATGACCAGTTTACTCGTCTGTAAAATGGGGATGGTATGGTATCTATTTTGTAGGCTTTCTGTGAGGATTTGGAATAAAATAACTGAAAATACTTAGGATAGCTTCCAGCACATTCTAAACACATGTAAGAATCTTGTTGCTGCTGCTGCGGTTTTATATTATTATTATTATTATTTTTTTATCAGAGGCCCTTTATATCTCGAAAGTCATGGTTATAATTTTACCCATGCATAACTGAGTCCATGGTTTAAGAATGTTTTCATAGTGTTTTTTTGTTAGTCTTTAGTTCCTATTTACAAGGACTTCCTACCATGGCTTAGAAACCACTATGTCTTTGTTTCTAGGTCACAGATTTATATCCTACTCAGGCCTGGGCATCACTGACAACAGTCAGTAATATCCCTCTATCCAAATGTGTCACAGGTTAGAGCATCTTCTTAGCCCTTCTCTTAAGGGTTTAAATGAAAAATCATTGTACAAAGTGGTCTAATCCAACTGTCTGCTGTTCTGAGCAGACACATGACATCACTAAGGGAGGAATGCAGCAGAAACTATTGTGATACTCTGTGAGTGCTTATTCTTGGGTTAGATCTTCATTCTGAATAAAGGTGATAAGCCTTTAATACAGTGGCTACATAGGTTATTCACTGAATCAGCAAACATTTATTGAGTGACTAAGACTCTGTTGAGCTCCAGGGTTACAGGGAGTCATATAGAGCCCACGGTTCAGGGAAACATAGAGGGCTAAACAAATTATTACCATATGTTGGGGTGATTGCTTTTGACATGGGGACACTAACTAGTCCCAGCTGGGCTGCAGATGGCTGTTCTGATGTTGGTGGCCATCTTATTAGGTTGGTGCAACAGTAATTGTGAATTAAAATGTTTGCAAAAAACTGCAACTACTTTTGTGCCAACGTATCGTGATGGGGGAGAGGTAGCATTCTGTAAATGTACCACCACAACCACTTACATACTGTGTGGCCTTGGACATAGTTCTTGATGTCTCTGGGCTTCAGTTTCCCCATTTGTAAAACTGAGATATTGATAACCAGTTGTCAAACATTGTAGTGAGAATTAGTGTGTGTAAAGTATGTGCCTGGTACAAAGTGTATACTCAGTGAATGTTGTCTAGTATGATTATCATCAATATTGGATGTTTAAAGCCATGGAAAAATACTAGGAATACAACTGTGTATATATTTTTTAACTTGAGGATTTAAATTGATGAGAGAGATTGAGGCCATGAAAATGACGTAACTTTGTTTAGCATGCAGGTTACCACCCATACCTCGGCTGTATTGTGATGACTTTGGCAGTTCTTCAGCCTCTTCTGGCTGTCTTCAGGCCACCTTTACATGACCCAAGGTACTTAGAGCCTTTCTATATAAATGCTGTCTTAATGTAGATATCATTAGTTGGCAAATGAATCCATTTTCAAATGGAAAAATTTTGCATTTTATAAAATTCAGTTATAAATTATAGTTACTTTGAAATACTTTGAAATGCATTTCAGATATCTAATTCCCAGACAATAAGGAAAATTACATGCTTTTTATTCTCTTGGGAATTAATTATAGTTCCATTGCTTTTAAGAATACTGACTGGTTCTTATTTTGGTAGAAGGCAAATGTTTAACTGGACTCATTGGAGTATGGGAACAGCTGCTAGAATAATAGCAGGTAAGAGATTGTGATGCTACTTATTCATATATAATTGCTGGCTGTTTATATTGCAAGTTGTAATTTGGCTTAAATAATTTTTAGATGCATTAGTAATTGGAGTAATTGGTTGTTGAGGAGAAATCAGCCTTAAACATTGAAATCCAGAAAGTAATTTCCAGAGGTAATGGTTTAAGTCATTATTTCAGTTTTAAGTTTAAGGTCTTTAAAATAACTTTAAAACTCTCCTTTTAAGACTTATTTGGGCATTTGCCTTTGCCAGCAGAATAAGCTATGCTGATGGCCGGACATTTGAGTAGCTCAGATTGAGGGTCATTTGTGAATTGGGTTGAGGTGGGTTGGTGGGTCCAAGCTCTCCATCTCCAGGTCCTTTCCACGGGGCTTGTATCTTCCAGGGTAGGGTGGTTTTCAAAAGTCAAGAATGATTACGCGGTCTATTTTGATACCTTGTAGAATAAATACCTAAGTAGGCACCCTCTACCTTAACATAGTCTATGGGACTCTTTGTTGGAGGGGAGCCCAATCAACCATGGTTTCTATACTTTTCTCCTTTCATACATTGCAGACTTCAGACAATCTGGAAAATGTGGGTGCATCTCTCTTAAAACTGGTAGATTATGCAGCCATAAAAAAGAATGAAATCATGTCTTTTGTGGCCACATGGATGCTGCTGGAAGTGATTACCCTATGTGAATTAGTGCAGAAACAGAAAATGACATACCACATGTTCTCACCCATAAACGGGAGCTAAACGATGAGTACACTTGGACGTAAAGATGGAAACAATAGACCCTGGGGACTCCAAAGGAGGAGAGGGAGGAGTGGGGGAAAGGGTTGAAGCACTTCTCTTTGGATACAGTGTTCACTACTTGGGTGATGGGTTCACTAGAAGCCCAAACCCCCCAGCATTATTATGCAATATGCCCTACCCCCTAAAAAATTGATAATTCATAATTAATTGCCCATCTTGCCCTATCTAGCCTTATAATTCTCTTTCAAAAGACTAAATTAACTATTTGGTCTTAAATATTAATTTTAGTCATTTCAAACTCTTTTAGTATGTTTTACTTGATAATACACATACACAAACACACAACTGTCTCTCCTGGTGGGACTACATTTGAATATACCTTTTTTCTTTCCTGTGTAGTGGCAGCGACGTTCCTGGGAATGGATTTACCAGGACTGAATCTTCCTGATTCACAGAAAACCTATGCAATGATTGGATTTGTAGCCTGGCATGTAGGGACTGAGATTGTTCTGGAGGTACATGCTTATCGGCTCTCTCGCAAAGGTAACCAACCTGCTAAAAAAAACCATGTTATGTAGAATCACTTTTATACAAACTATTGGAAAAGAATGAGTTTCCTGATAGTAAAGGCTATTATATTTGTATCTCACTAAAAATTTGTTATTACTCAGCCAGTGGTAGAAATTGTGGAGATTTTCTGCCTTTGTTTTTTTTACATTTGTAACTATTAGAAGTTGTGAGTAAGATACAAAGGAAAGGTTTTAGGTTTTAGGGAAGGCGTCTTCCTTGTATTTTCACTTTGCTGGTCTGACTTAGAGCCAGTATGGATGGGGAACTCTGAATGCCTAGAGGTGAGGGAACCCTGAGATGGAGGAAGAAGAGACTCAAAGTCAGCGCTGGGTGGAGCCGCAGACAACTTTGACCTATTTGACAAACTTGCTGTGTGCTGTCACTTAGGTTGCCATATGCATATATATAGCTAGGAGCAAGCCAGCTAGATAGGAAGCAATGATTTTGCTTTTGCTCTTAAGGGACAAGGTCTGTTTTGGTGCCAGGCAGGGTCAGAATACCTATAGCCACCGTTAGGAGTGGAGCAATTAGTAGGGAATGGGTGTCCTTTTAAACTACCCTGGATTCTAGGCTAAGTGTCTTTTGTGTCCTGCCGAGTTTTCATCCCCCCAGATAAGTGAAGGTGGCCTTCTAAAAACAAAAATTCTTTGTTGTCTAGTATATATGTTGTGAACTTAGGAGAGCCTAGGGTGGCTTTAGGAGCTGAGTAGTACCTATCTGTCCTGCTACTTTTGATCCTTGATAGGCTTATATACATGGGGCTTTTGATGACCATGGAATTACGGCTTACTGATTTTTGTTTGTTTTTAGAGACAGAGTCTCACACCGTCGCTCAGGCTGGAATGCAGTGGTGTGATCATAGCTCACTGCAGCCTTAAACTCCAGGGCTTAAGCCATCTGCTTGTTTCAGACTCCCATGTAGCTGGGATCACAGGAATGTGCCAGCACGTCTGGCTAACTTTTTAAATTTTTTGTAGAAATGGGGTTTCACTTTGATGCCCAGGCGGATCTCAAGTTCCTGGGCTCAAGTGATCTATCCAGGTCCTCCTTCCAGAGTTCTGGGATTGCAGGTGTGAGCCACCATGCCTGGTTGATGGCTTCTGTCTATGTATGTATACTTATAACTTGGATAGTTATCATATGTTAATTAGTTTGATTTAGCTATTTCAAAATGTATGCATATATCAAAACATCATGTTATACACCATAAATATACATTTTGTCAATCAAAAAATAAAATTAAGAAAACCAAAAAGCTTAGATCATTATGACATTGAGGTAGTGTTTATTGACTAGAAAAAGGCATATTTTAAGTTATTTAACAAATGTGTACTCTTGCCAGATTGTCCATATTTGTGAGAGGGTTAATTGTTCAGAGAGTTTGCAATAACCAGTAGCTTGGAATGGGAGAATTTCTACCTGGAAATTTAGGTGAACAGTACAAATCAGGTTTATTTGTTTTTAATTATTTTTATTTTATTTACCTGCACAACACTGTCCTTATAAACTTATATTATTATTCTTGACAGTTGAAATTTTGGATGATGACAGAATTCAGATCCTTCAGTCCTTTACTTCAGTGGAAGCGGAGGTAAATCCTGTTCTTGTTCATTGACACAAACCTTAATGGTAATACCTTTTTTTTTTTCATATCTCAATTTTTCTTTCAGGGTCATGCTTTTAAAAAGGCAGTATTGGCAATTTATATCTGTGGGAATGTTACTTTTCTCATCGTATTTTTGTCTGCAATCAACCATCTATAAGCAAGCAAAGACCTTGGCTTTTGCAGGCCAAGTGATAATTATCATCAAACCAAAGAAACTTGAAGCCTGCACTGACTGCCTGGAGCATATTTGTGAATTTTCACTTGGAAAACTGGGGTCATGTCTGAAGAGGATTTCTGAAGTCCAGCTGTTCAACATTCAAGAGGGTCATATAGACTATAACTTAATGTCACGCCCTACGTTTAATTCTGGGTCTTAAAGGGAAGATTGTACTTCGGAAGTAACTCTCAAATATTTCATGCCAAGATTTTAAGAATGTTGATATTCAAGAAAATAAATAGTGATTTGGAAGAACACAACAGATGTCACTACGATAAAAAGGAGGTATATTAAGGTAAATATACTTTAGACTACAAAGGTGCTGTTGTACTTTAAAGAAAAACAATTTATTTTTACTAGTTTATCTGAATGGTCTGTGTTTATTTAGAAACCGTTTTTCAGTTTAGTTTTTTGGACGTATTCTTTGCTCAGTGTATTTCATTACTTCTCTAGTAAAGGTGGAAATGAGGCAGATGCCATTGTAGGTTTTACCAGCATTTAAATATATTATGAATATTATAATTTATTTCTTAGCAATGACATTCAAGTATGCATCTTTTACTTAAAGACCATATTTATGTATTCAGCTGTGGAGATGAAATAGCATTTTATGTGTTAATTGTTTTGACTATAAAATGTAAGTCCTTACAGCATTTGGGGACTATAGACTTGGATTTCAAAACTGATAAAACTCACCCTTGTGAACATATCTAACAGATATTCTATTTACTTGTAGAAATAAAATAATGTGTTTGGTTCTGTTTTGTCAGACATTTTTGATGCTCTACTGAATCAGAATCGTCAGTGTTATCTTCCTTATTTCAATAATTCATCGATTTTATGGCTTCATCGCATATGTGCTATGAGGACTTCTAGCCAGTGGGTGGCGCTGTAATACCGAAGTTCTGTTCTGCTTTGTTCCTGTTTGCTTCTGCTGATTCCTTTTTAGTATTTAGGTAACATTATGGGATGGCATTTCCCTTAAATTCCACAAGCTCTCCTTAATCTTTATTTTTAAAAGGTCTACTTTTTTTGGGTGCTTGAGGTAATGGGTTAAAACCTCAAATTAGTAACCAGTGTTTATTTTCCAGTTTCTGTTTGTTTTCTGTGATTATTTGTAACAATTGTTTGATATTTGTTTTTACCGCCCCCCGACCCTGTAATGAATGAATGCAGCTATCTTGGGCAAAGCAAATAAATAAACGGGACATTTTTAAATAAAATATTTAGGAAGTCATACTTTATTTCTTTAGGTATTCTGATGATGCTATAGTTTTGCTTGGCCCAAGATCCTAATTTCTGTATGGCGTGAGTAATAGCCTCAGCTGTTAGCCTACATCTTTATTTTATTATTATTTTTCAATTTTTAAAATTGTTTCTTTTTTTAAAATATCTTTTTTTTTTTTTAATTAAACAACTTTCTACTAATAGCCTACATCGTTTACTGGGTAAAATATATGGAAGTTTTGTTTTTGTTCCTTTTATAGGTGTTTATCATAAGCAGCTTAGGGCTTACATATGAACTTTCTGTGTTCATATTCTATACGTACCATGCTACTTATAATCTAAAGTTTCCTTATGAATGCCTTTATTTAAAAAAAAAAAAAAACATTTAGTATAGCAAATTAAATGTGTACTAAAGTATTTTCCTCCGGTTTTCTATACCAAGGAGTTTAAATGTTAATAAATTTATCTTAAGTTATATTCTACATCTGACAAATAAAAATTCTTTTTTTTTTTTTTTGAGACAGAGTCTCACTCTGTTGCCCAGGTTGGAGTGCAGTGGCACAATCTTGGCTCACGGCAGCCTCCACCTCCTGAGTTCAACCCAGTCTTGTCTCAGTCTTCTGAGTAGCTGGGACTGCAGGCATGTGCCACCACACCTGGCTAATATTTGTATTTTTAGCAGCCAGGGTTTCACCATGTTGGCCAGGCTGGTCCCAAACTCCTGGCCTAAAGTGATCCACCCACTTCAGCCTGCCTAAGTGCTGGAATTACAGGTGTGAGCCACTGTGCTCAGCTGAAAAAGTCTTTCAAGGGAAAGATGAGCCTTGCTGTGTTTGATCTTCAAATATGTGAGCTTGCCATATTTCCACTGTTGAAGCTAAAATATTTTAACTTTCTTTTTCAGTGCTTCATATGTTGGCACTATTTTCATCTTTGTCAACTTACATACAGAGATGCCAAAGAAGCCGTTGCCGTTTAATCTTTTATTTTTATTTTTTGGAGACAGGGTCTTACTCTCTTGTTCAGGCTGGAGTGCAGTGGTGAGATCTTGGCCCACTGCTGCCTTGACCTCTTGGGCTTTAGTGATCCTCCCACCTCAGCCTCCAGAGTAGCTGGAACCACAGGCAGCAACTCCGTGCACCACCACAGCCAGCTAATTAAAAAAAATTTTTTTTTCTGAAGATGGGATCTCCCTTTGTTGCCCAGGCTGGTCTCGAACTCCTGGGCTCAAGCAATCCTCCTATCTCAGACTCCCAAAGTTTTGGGATTATAGGCATGAGCCATTGCACCTGGCCCCAAATAGACCAAATCTTTTGATTAGAACCAAATTATGATTCTTCTGCTTCTGGGTGGTTGGTATCCACAAATTGCAAATGCCTGTTCTTCACTCCTCTCAGTTTTTCTTTTTGTTTCTGTAATAATCTAGAAGGTTTTTCCAAAGTTATTTCTTTTGATAGGAATCATTGTTAAATTAAATGCTTTTATACCTTTAGCAATGTTGCCAAAAACAATGAGCAAAATCACATTTTCTTCTTAAAGAAGTGATACAGTATAAAATAAAGATATGTATGCTCTCAGAAAGAACTGAAAGAAACTCTAGAAAATTGTGGTTAGGCTGGCATTAATAGCTGAGACAATAAAAAAGTTCTCTGGTCTGCAGAAATCCATCTTAAGGGCATAGGTAGTCTATAGCATGGGTTATCAAATAGATGAATCAATTCACTTTAGTACTTTGTCAAACATTTTGGCTGTAATGTTTGTTAAGCAATACCTCATTTCTTCTACATCCTGTCCCAGTCCAGGATGCAGCGGGAAAAGACAAATCAGCAGATGCCAACTAGGAAGCTCTCAGGGCACATGTAGTGTTTGGCTGAAATTTCTATTTATCTGTATACCCTCGACAGGCAGGAAAAAAAGAACAAAGGTCCTTGTTTAAGATAATCCATTATAGGTTGGAATGAAAGAAAAGATTCTTCTAAGCCCTTTTAAAATCAGATTAGGATACTCACAGTTCCTATCCACATCCTGCTTCTTTCTTCCTTGTGCAGCCCCCACCAAGCTCATCTCTGCACCCAGGTCACAGTTGGTTACCAGCCTGGGATGCCCTTTCCAGTGAAACGGGAAACGTTCCCTTGTCCCCTTTGCGGGGTGTGCAGTGGGATGTGACTCGCTTCTTCAGTGTCCCACTGCTCAAACCTCTAGGGGAGAATACAGATGGGCAGGCTGTGGGGCTCCGACCCCACAGCAGTGTCTAGGGGTGAGTGTTTACAGATGAAGCCCCAGAGGGCATGTGTTACCGTGTGCTCTTTTAGTTTAGCCGTCCATAGGCAGCTTGTGATAGCTCAATTAGACCCCTGTCTTGCAGCATAGGCTTTCTGTATCCCCGGGTTTTTGCCTTGGTGTACCAGAAGAATCGAATCACACCTGGGCTTGGAGAACGAGTGCAAGGTTTTACTGGGTGGGAGTAGGTCTCAGTAGATGGGGAGCCAGAAGGCAGATGGTTTTCCTCTGGAGCTGGACCGCCGCAGGGCCTGGGCTCTCCTCTGATTGCCCTGGCCAAACTCCGCCAACTCCGCCTCCTTCCGCCAGCCTGGTTTGCCTGCAAGCCCGGGTCTGTCCTGGCTCTTCCCCCGTGCGCTTCCCTCCGCGTCCTCTCACGGTCCCGCTGCTTGTGTCTCCTGCAGACGTGTTCCCTTCCACCTCTGGGTTGAACTCGGGAGGTGGAGGCTGCCGTGAGCCAAGATTGTGCCACTGCACTCCAACCTGGGCAACAGAGTGAGACTTTGTCTCAAAAAAAAAAAAAAAAAAAAGAAAAAAAGAATTTTTATTTGTCAGATGTAGTATATAACTTAAGATAAATTTATTAACATTTAAGCTCCTTAGTATAGGAAACCGGAGGAAAATACTTTAGTACACGTTTAATTTGCTATACTAAATGGTTCCCTTCCAGCAGCGTGTGTGTCTGCCTGCTAGAATCTCAGGGACTTTTACAGGCACAAGATGGGGGCATGGTGGGCCAGGGTGGTCCTGGGAAATGGAACGTGTGGGCACTGAAGGCAGGAGTGCCTGTCGTCATCTAGGTCCGTCGACACAGGCCTGGAGGTGGAGCCCTGGCCAGGGACAACGCCCTCCTCTACCCAGCACTTCCCTCCTTTCCTATTATTTAAAGGGACCACGTCCTTCCCAGCACTTGCAAAAGCTATATCTTCCGTATCACTTGCAAAAGCTAGTTGATCAAGTTCTAGCTCCTTCCCTGACTTGCTGTTCAACATCCTTATCTTTTGGTTTTGACCATCTTTATAGATGGGATGGGAGGCAGCTGATCCTGTAAATTAAAAAGGACCAGAAATTAGAAGACCTGAATGTGCATGTTTGCTTGTTGGTTTACAAGCTGCATGTCCCTGGGTAAGTCACTTATCTTCTCTGGGCTCTGTCCTTTCATCTGTAAAGCCCATCTCACAGAGCAGCTGTGAGGATTGAATGAAGTGATGCCAGCAAAAGATGCTTGTTTCATACATGTTTTTGATGATGTATTTGCCATATAATCAGGTTGTTAAACTTTAATAAATGTTGCATATAAAATGTGTACTTTTTATAAGACATATTTGATGTTCATCTTGAAAATATTATGCGGAATTAAATAAGCCAGGCACAGAAGGATGACTATTTATTAATATGATTTCACTTATGTGAGGTACCTAAAACCCTCAGATTTACAGAGAAAGTACAATGGCAGGTACCAGGAGCTGGTGGGAGAAAGGAAATGGGAGGCTAGCGTTTTTTTTTTTTTGTTTGTTTGTTTTTTTTTTTGAGACGGAGCCTCGCTCTGTTGCCCAGGCTGGAGTGCAGTGGCACGATTGGATTTTTGGCTAAGTGGAGCTGCAGACAACTTTGACCGATTTGACTAACTTACTGTGTGCTCAGCTCACTGCAACCTCTGCTTTCATGGTTTAAGCGATCCCCCTGTCTCAGTCTCCCGAGGAACTGGGATTATAGGCGTATGCCACCATGTCTGGCTAATTTTTGTATGTGTAGTAGAGATGCAGTTTTACCATGTTGACCAGGTGTGTCTCAAACTCCTGACCTTAAGTGATCTGCCTGCCTCAGCCTCCCACAGTGCTGGATTACAGGTGTGAGCCACTGTGCCCGGTGGAGTTTAGGGTTTAATGTGCACAAAGTTTGTTAGGGAAGATAAAAAGTTTTAGAGATGAATAGTAGTGTTGGTTGTACAACACTGTGAATATATGCAATGTACTGAACTATAATAAAATTCACCATTATTATGTATTTTTTTTTGCCACAATTAAAAAAGTGAAAAAAACTAATGTTTATAGCAGTGTTATTCACAGTCACCAAGTGATGGAAACAGTGCACATGTTCCATGATTGATGAACAGATAAACTGTGGTATATAAATACAGTGGAATATTATTCAGCCATAAAAAGGAATAGAGTGCTGTTACATGCTATAATGTGGATGAACCTCCAAAACATTATGCTAAGTAAAAGAAGTCTGACACAAAATTTACCTTTTATGATTACATTTATATAAAATATCCAGAATAGGTAAGCTAATAAAGAGAAGAGAGATTGATGGTTACTAGGGGCAGGGTGCGGGGCAAGAAGGGAATAGAAAGTAATTGTTTAATGAATCTAAGGCTTTATTTTGGGGTGATGAAAGGTCTTGGAACTAGAGGTGGCAGTTGCCCAACTTTGTGAATATAAGAAATGCCACTGAGTGTCCGCTTTAAAATAGTTTCATGTTCTGTGAATTTCATCTCAGTAAAAAGACTATCATATTGTTACTGCTCCTGGATTATACCTTTGGGTAGAAAAAAATCTGGGGGTTTTGCTGGCCATAAACTCGCTATTCATTTAATTTATTATTTTGTTGTCAAAGAAGTTAATGTAATTGTATGTTATGCCTGGTCACATATCTCTGTTTTAGGGTAGAGGAAGTTCCTAGAGCACATGTTAAGAAGTATAGCTTTTCTTTTCTCTTTTTTTTTTTTT